CAAAAAAAAAAAAAAAAAAAAAAAAAAAAATCGGAATAAATCAAATGTTAAGACCCTGCAATAATTTAGAACCCCTAATGGTCATGTTAAACTTCTCCATGGTTACTAATTTTAAAACTCCAGGAAACTACCTAGAGAGTTGCCTCTTTGCATCATGAACCAGTGAAGAGGAAAGAAGTCCCAAAGCAATAACCTACTAGTCCTGGCCAAGAGGGTGAGTGAACATGAGAAAGTAGGTGGTGGGGGCCAGACAGCAGCAGGCAGGCAAATATCCAGTCTGGCTGTAAGACAAGGGATCAGCCAGGCACAGGCTATAGCCTGGAAGGCTAGGTCCATAAGGAGCCCTGAAGAGATACTCAGGGCGCTGATAAACTTCCATTAGTCTCCTAAGAGGCCTCCCTAATTCAGTCTTCTCTCCAATAGCTACACTCCATGGTGTAGCCAAAATGATCCTTCCAAAAGACATATTTGATTTGCTTAGAGCTCCTCGTCAGCTTTTCATTTTAAAGAGAAAGTCAAACTTTTGGCCTGGCCCCTGTCTACTACTGTGTCTTCCCTCCCCACCAACTCTTACTTATCACTGTAGTTGAGGCTAACCTGAACAACAGTCTCCTGAACACATCATGGTGTCTACTCAGCAGGTCTTTCTGTAGGTCTGCCATAGGTCCCATATACCATAGCACTGGCTGCTAGTGCTCCCTCCCCATTTAGACAGGGACCTACCTGGGAACAGCAATGTCTCCTTCGTCCCTGGGGCTCAGCACAAGGCCAGGGAATGACTTGTCACTTATCCACTTATCCAATCCATCCTTTACCCTCAAAGCTGGTTAGCTATCTTAAAAATCAATCTGATCATCCCCTTCCCAGATCAAAGATGTCTGGCCAACCACATTTGCTTTCCAAATAAAGTCCTAACCCTTCACCACATTGTGTCTGAAGATTTTAACAATGTGGCCTCAGACTGCCCCTCTGGGTTCATGTTCCCTCCATGTCTTTCAGACCTGACTAGAAGCCAGTTTGCACTTCCCTTCGTCTATTGAGGACTCTTACATCTTCTCCTAAGAGGCCTAGCTCTGCACATCAGGATCTCAGTGGATAGTTCCTCTCTCTTATGCTTATACCTGAGCCCCAGTGTCCCATCAAATCTTAGCTCCAATGGCAAAGGTCAGAGATGTTTTTCCAGTATGCCCAGCACTGAATTCAGCATGCAGGACTCTGTAAATTCTGGCATCTCCCTTGGGGAACGGGAGCCACATGGATGTGCAGAATCTGTACTTCTGCCTACAGAACAATTTGAGACTTAACAGACTTTCACTCATCCCATTTGCTCTCTAACGTAATCTTAATCTCCTCCGCTGCCAAGATTATTGGCCTCAGTTCTTGCACCCTACTTTCTCATCTTCTCATTCCTGGTTACCTTCTGCACAGACTTCGGAGCTCACAGGATAGGACCAAACCCTCTGGTTTAAGTCCTCATCAAAAGAAGCAGCTTGAAGGGTTGGACCCTGCTCTGAGGTCCCCTGTGGCTTTCAGACCCACTCCTCCCCCACAGCACCTTGTGCAGGGCCTACTCACCTGCAAGAAACAGGTTCCAGGCTGAGCACCCTCAGGCAGTGAGGCATTGTAGAAGGTCCTCTGAAACTGGGGCTCATTGTCATTCACATCCTGTAGAGCCACACTGACTGTGGCAGAGGAGGCTAGAGGCGGAAGGCCCCCATCTGTGGCCACCACAATCAACTGTGGCTGAGGTTCCAACTCATAGTCCAGTGAGGCAGCAGTGGTGATGATGCCTGAGGTGGGATTGATGGAAAACCAGCGAGTGTGAGTGCCAGGGGCCAGGCTATAGGTGACCTGACCATTGGTGCCTTGGTCGGGATCCCGGGCAGTCACTCGCACCACGAAGCTGCCAGGCAATGCAACCTCAGGCAGTGGCTCAGGCCGGTAGAGCTGGAAGTCAAAGGTAGGTGCGTTGTCATTGACATCAGTAATGTGCAGCACAAAGGCAGCTTCAGCCCGCAGTGGGGGTGAGCCTGAGTCTGTGGCTGTAACCCGCAGGTTATAGGCATCTCTCTCCTCCCGGTCCAGCTGCCGAGCCACACACACCAGGTAGATGACGCTGTCTTGGGTGCTTAGGGCAAAATGGCCTTCTCCACCCTCCAGAGACACATTGACATGAGCAAAGTCACCATCATCTGGATCTGACACAGAGATACGAGCGACAAGCTGTCCAGGTGGGGCAGCCTCAGACACTCGGGGGGTGCCATCTGCACTCAGGAAGATGACAGTCATGGAAGGCTGATTGTCATTGGCATCTCGCACATGAACAGTCACAAAGGCCGAGCCCAGCTCTGGGTGAGCCCCACCATCCCGCGCCTGTACTACTAGTTCATGGACCCGTCGTTGTTCAAAGTCCAGGGGCCGCTCCAGCCTCAGCAACCCTGTGCGTGCGTCAATAGAGAAGGGTCCATCACCCTCGCTCTGCCTTCGATTGATCTCATAAGTTATAGCCCCATTGGCACCAGCATCAGCATCAGAAGCAAACACCTGCAAGACAGGGCTGCCAGGGGCCAGGCTCTCAGATACCACAGCATGGTAGCGACTCTGATTGAAAGCTGGAGCATGGTCATTGATGTCTAACAGCGTCACATCTAGCAGGGCCTGGGCCCTCCGGGGAGGTGAACCACCATCGTAGGCCTCTAGCTGCAACATGTAGTGTGAGCGGTTCTCCCGGTCCAGCTCCCCAGCAATTACCAGCTCAGGTACTGGAGCCCCATCTGGGCCAGGGCGGGTTTCCAGTCGGAAGGTCTCTCCAGCTCTGTCACCAGATAAGGCATAGCCCTGGGTTCCTAGGCGGCCAGCATCTGCATCACGGGCAGGCTCTAGTGGGTAGCGGGTGCCAAGAGCTGTATGCTCAGGTATCTGCAGAGCACCTCGAATTTGAGGGAAGGCTGGAGCATGGTCGTTGATGTCAGCCACTCGCACTGTAACTTCCACAGTGGCACCATCAGGAGTGACTGCGGTGAAGCGGTAGCGGTCCCGCCGCTCACGGTCCAAGACACGAGCTGTACGGACCACCCCACTGTGTTCATCGATAGCCAGGTCGGTGCCCACACCGCTGCCTTCCTGGGCTGAGATGAAGTACATGGGCGGAGCTGCTGTGCCTGCTGGAAGCCCTGCGCTGATGTCTCCGATGAGTGTGCCTGCTGGTTGCTCCTCATCAATCTGCAGATCTAGGCTGCCAGCCTGACCCCAGGCACCTGGCACCCCAGCCTCCAGCAGCAGCAGCAGCAGCGGTAGCAGGAGGAAGGGTCTGGGGCTCTTCATGCCAGGGCAAGAGGGCGCAGTGCCCAACTCCTTCTGCATGTCAGGGACAGTCCAGCCGGGGCTGGGTCTCCAGCTCCAGGCCAGACTCTGGTCCCAGTCTGCTATCAGGCTTTGGGTGAGGTCCAATCTAGGCCCTCACTGCGACTCTGGCTCCCTGACCTAGAAGAAATGCATAAGGAAAAACGTTATTACAGGGGAGGGGTCATCTGGACAGCCGGAGACATAGACCATACCGAAACTCAGACACATTTAGCTGCCAGCAGCTCCCTCAGGCTGTTGCATACACATCTCCAGCCCTAGGCACATATTCTTCTAATTCCTTATGGTCCCCTACAGTCTTTCCCTGGGCAAGTCCTCATCCTATCCTGAACACTTTCTTAGCAGATTGTTCTGCTTCCTGTATTTCAGGTCTGAATGTCCACAGACTCTGTTCTTTCTATTTTTAATCTTAAAAATAGTGCCAATCCTTTCTTATTTTCTTCTTATCCAGACTTGATATCCCTTCCAGCCCTCAATAACCATGTACTTGCTTGAAATGTAATTAAATATGATGGAGTCTCTCTCTCTTCTGTCTCGATAGATAGATAGATATAAATAGATAGATATATAGATAGATAGACCCCCCCTACTTCTCTCCCCATTCAGTAAGAGATTAGGAATCTACTATACAGAAACACAGGGGATACAACAGTGATTAAAGGAATCAGCTTTTGGCTTCATGGAGCTTACAGGGCAGAAGTTGGACAAGTAGTTACAAGTAGCAGAAGGGCAGTGAAGGAGAAGTACAGGAAGCAGGAGAACATATACAGGGCTTAACACAGAACAAGAGTCGGAGAGGACTTTTCCGAGGAAGTGCCTTAGTTATTTTCTGGTCACTGTGTCAAAATATCCAAGGAGAGGAGTATTTCGCCTCATATTTTCAGTCCATGGCCAGCTGGCTCCAAGGCTGAAATGGCATGGTAGAACGGTCTGGGTGGAGGAAAGCTGCTCACATCATGGCAGCCAGGCAGCAGAGAGCAGAGGAGCCAGGGAGGGAGACACACCCTTCTATGACACACGCAGAGCGAACTGTCTCTTCCTACCAGACCCCACTTCCTAACAGCACATTTAGCTATGGATAGTCAACTGATGAGGAGAGGGCCCCCGTGGTCCAGTCATCTCCCACACCCATGAGAATTCTAGACGACATTTTAGATCTAAGCCATAATAAGAAGCGATATTCAAGTCAAGAACTAAATAACTGGTAGGTGTTAGGGAGGTGGTGACAGGCAGAGAAGGGGGATACAAGAAGGAGGAATGAACATTCTAGAAGCATGAATAGAATTTGGAAGGGCTGAGAGCATCTAGGTGTAGGCTGGAAGGCCCTGCATGTGAGTATAGTGCTAGGGGCTGAGTATGGAATGAGGAAAAGCCTCGTAAACATACTAAAGATTTTCACGTTATCTTAAGTGCAAGCAGAACCCACGAAAGCATTTCAAGAAGTGCCATGATATGACTTACATTTTCTGAGGACTGCTATCACTGGAAGACAAAGTGACACAGATAGGATGGCGAGGAAGTTCTCATGCGAGTCCAGGGGATGACTGTGCTTTGATGCTGACTTGAATGAGGTTTAGTAATGAAGACAGCAAGAAGAGGATAGGTCTGTGGGTACTCAGGAGATTGAATATGCAGGGGTTTCTGACTTCTTGAAGACAGAAAATGAAGAAGAAAGACAAGAGGGAGAAGTCAAGGATGATGGACAAGTTACTGGCCTGAAATACCAGCTGGCCAGTGTCCAGAACTGGGGAGGGAGGGGGCAAGACAGGGGTGGTGCATCAGTCTCTGAGGGGAACTGCTAAAGCTCAAGAAGGGGGAATCCTAAAGCCCCACAGACACCTTTGGTATCTAAGAGCAGAATCAGTTGAGAGGTGGAAGCAGAGACTGAAGGGAGGCAGCTGCAGGAGGGCAGAACATCCAGGAGCTACCCACCCTCTCTGTGCGAGGGTTGTTTCATTTCCTCCATTATCTTTACTTCTCACTCTTTCCTCCCTCGACACAATGAGGCTTCCTCCGTGATTTGTTCCCACTAGCTGCCAACCATTTCCATGGTCTACGTCCAGCAGGTACTTTAAAGTCTTCTTGCTGGCTCGTTCTGGAGCTGTGATGACTGATCACGGGCTCCTTAAGGTTGACTCCTTTTGCTTCACACTGTGACCTCCATCACCTCTTGCTTCTTTCTCCATGCTTCCACGTCTACCTCATTTTCTCTCACAAGCTCTTCTCCCTCTGCCCTCCCCTTCACAATTAGTGCTCTTCCACCCTCTGCTCAGGATCGCATTTTTCCCATTCTCCACACTCTGCTTGGGTAACCCTGTCCACTCCTATGTCTTCCATTCAAAGGTATCGATCATTTTGAATGCAGCATCTATTTGCCAATGGCTTTCTAATCTCCAGCTCTAGCTCTGGAAACTCTACAGAAATACTGGACTTCACAACATACTCCCAATTTTCACTTCAAACTGATTTTCCTCCTCTATTGCCTTCCCTGTAGATATCACTATCCATCCAGATGTTCAATCCAGAACTGCTGACATTCTTTGGCTTTCTTGCTTTTCTTCAATTCCAAATTCTACTTTGTCTTTAAAACCTGACTATTTCAAATACACGTTTTAATTCTTCCTGGTCCTCTCCACACCATTTCTATCCAGACCAAGCACTGTAATCTCCTTTCTTTTCCGTAATAGCTCCTTACTGGTACTCCTGCCTCCTGGCTCTGACCCTCAGTTCCATCTCCACCGATAAAAGAGATGTACAAAACTCTCACAAAGCCACTCATGGAGAAGGGTCTGACTGGTTCTGCATTACTGACAGCAGAAAACTAAAAAGAAATGTAGACACACATACACACAAACTTGTGCCTTCAGTTTCAAGAGGTTCATGGACACTAGGTATAGAGCTTCTGACCTACAACACAAAGCCTAATCTGCTTAATGAGTCTTTGCAATCTGAGCTCTGCCAACTTCTCTAGCGTCTCCTACCTTTACTTTCTTCCAGCACACTTTGCATTCCAACATTCAATGTTACCTTGCTCTTGCCCAACTCCTCTCTGCCTTGTATATAGCGTGCTCTCATCCTAAGATATCCCTCCCACATGGCCATCTCCTATTCTATTAGAATTTCAAGATCCAGTTAGAATTTCCTGTTTTCCATGGTTTCTTTGACATATTCCTCACCATTCTTCCATCCGGAGACTATAGTATTCTGTTGTGCTCCTGTTCTCTTGATACACCTTGGCAGGAAGTTGTACAGCAGCCCTTGCATGTTCATGTGTCTGCCACTGCACTGGATAGGAGGTTCCTGTGCAGGTCTTAGTCTCCAATCTTCCAGCACTTAGTGGAGGCAGAGTGTGAGCAGGTAATCAGTGCTGGAAGCCTCATGCTGGCTCAGATGACATGCACAAACATGTGAGCTGATGACCCTGAGACACCATGATCAGTCCTTTGGCATTAGAAATTTGTCCTTGATCTCTATAGATTTGTTGTGCTCTAAGACTTCCTGTGCTGTAAAAGGAGATAGGTTTCTGACCCCCACCCTTGCTGTAACTCTCATCCCTCCCGTCTATGTAAGGCAATAACAAGAGCAAGGGCTTCAGAGTTTGGGTAGTTTGAATCCAGTCTTAGCAGTATTTTCCTAATCTGTAAAATGGTTGGATCTAAGCCCAGAGACTGGGTCAAGGGTTGAGGGTTGGTCCTATTCATTTAATCAGTCAGTAGAGAGAAAGCATGAGAGGTTTGGGGATAGAGAAGGTAATGGACAGTAAGATCAAAGTACTTATCATACTCTGTATCCGTCGCTCTACTGAGATAACTAGGTGTTTAAGGGGCAAGAGTGTATCTTACTTATTCACCTTTATGCGTAGCATAAATTTTCAGTAAATTTTCTGAATGAAGGGCTGTATCAAGGGATGTGTGAAATAAAAGCTCAGGTGAATGAGTAACTTCAAAGAGGAAGGATTCAGGGCCAGGCAGATGTCCTAGGTGAAAGTGGTGCCTTCCTCTAAACTGTGTAGACCTCCATTCCCTCCTCGTTACCCAACTTGGGTAAATATCTATTGCAAACTCCTCTGGTGGACTCTTATAGTGGACACACAGAAGGACACACTGACAGGGTCTCAGATCCACTCATAGCCTGACACACTCTCACACTGCCAGATACACAAACGTAGACACATAGATGCATTTTCACAGTCAGACTCACATGCAGACAGGCACACTCAACCTACACACAGAAGCTTACTGAAACATATACAGAGCCACCGCACACAGACACGCCTCCTTAGGTGCACTTTGAGGCCCATTCTCTCTCTCTCTCTCACACACACACACCCACACACACACATGAGCCACCGCACACAGACACGCCTCCTTAGGTGCACTTTGAGGCCCATTCTCTCTCTCTCTCTCTCACACACACACACCCACACCCACACACACACACCCACACACACACACACACACACACACACACACAGCATCTCCATTCACAGAGACCCCAATCCTCACACATACACAGTCCTGCATACATGTACTGACACTAAACACAAACACTTTCTTATGGACCTCACACAGAGAGGCACATTCACACTCTCAGACAACTCTCTGTACACATACACAGCCACACCCACCCACAGGCAAGCCCACTGTCACACACATGCAGCCCGACAAGGCAGGCACGCGAGCACACACTTGTGGACCCACCCACAGGCTGGCGTGCTCTCACACATGCTGCTGGGGCACTCGTGGTCAGCTCTGCGGCTGCAGCTGTGACCTCCAGGTCCCTGGGGCCTCTGTCTGGACTATGCTTCATCACTTCCTGCTCCACGGCTTCCAGTTCCAAACTGGAGCTCCAGACTCTCTCCTGAGACTGTCTCATCCTCTCTCCAGCTTCTTCGCAGCACTGTCTCTCCCATCTGTCCAGTGTTTCTCACTGCTTCTTAACTAGGACTTGCTCCCCTTTCCTGTTCTTGTCTTTTTTTCTCTCCAGGGCTGTCCTGTCCTGTCCTGTCTCAGAACAGGTCTGCCCTGTGCATCTTGTCTTTCTCTTCATGTCCAGTCTTCTCTTCTGCCTCCTGTCCGGCGCTGTCACATCTCTTCCCCACCTGGTTTAGTCTCGCCACATGCCCTTGTTCTATCCTCAGTCCTGTTACTTGGTCCTCTGACTCCATCCTGAGCTCCCCCTCTATCCTCACATCTGGGCCTCTGGAACCACAGCTGGTTCTCATTAGGAGGGGGAGGGGCAAGACTGTTCATTGGGGCCTGAAACGTGATGTCAATTCCCCTCCGTAGCTAACAGAGCCCCCCTCCTGTCCCTGGCCTGCGTGTCTACGGGACCGGGGAGCAAGGGGAACATGGGAAAGAGAGGTGGGCTGGTGGGGGAGAAGCAGGGGGAATACAAGGAAAGTGGGTGCTCTCTAGGAGGAAGTAAAGGAGTGGCCCGAGGTACAGAATGGGAAGTGGGCTGGGGGAGTTGGCACAGCCTGGGCCTCCTCGCTCAATTTCCTGTCCCAGGGCCAGAGAGGGACAGGACCAGAAAGACAACAGGGGTGAGGAGGGGGGCTACGAAAGCCAGATGGGCTAGAAGCAGAGGAAGAAGAGGGCAGTCCTGGTGAGTGAAGGGAAGTGGGGAAAAACAAAAGGGGAAGAGAGGTGAGAATTCTGATGGGAAGAAGATTAAGGGAGAGTGAATACACACAGCAGAGGAAAGAGTGAGCGGAGATGGAAACAGCCTGACCTGAAGAGGTTGTTGGGGGGAGGCAGGAGCCACAGCTGGAGGAAGGGGAGTGGGACAGAAGGTGGTGGGAGAAGACTGGCAAGCTATTGTCCTTGGAGATCCCTGAGACAACCCCACGAGACAGTGCTAGTACCTGGATCTGTCCTACCAGAGGATGCATTCCCAGAGGGCACTTCAAGGAGACTCTGAGGACAGATAAAGAGGCTGTATTTTCTGAGCTTTTACAGTGTTAGGGCCCTGTGCCAGGCAACTGAGACAGTATCTCATTTAGTTATCATAACAATTCTGTAGGAAGAAGTCCCAGTTTGCACTTTCCAGTGAAAAAACTGAGGCTCACAGTAAAACAATTTTCCTGACTTAATACAGCTTTAATTTGATCCCAGAACCATGGACTCCACATTGCCTAAGAATAAGGGAGAAGGGAAAAGATAAAGAAGAAATTATAGCAAAGCTAAGGGAAGAATCCTAGCAGAACAATGGAGGCTAAAGAAGGATGAGAACCTGCAGGAGGAAGGAAATCAAGTATGAGCATCTGTAATTGTGCAACTTAGCAGGGGTGGGACTGAAATGACACAAATATGAAGGGTATGAGGAAAGTGGACAAGACACTGCCATTGAAGGACTATAGACTCCAGTCTGCTGCCCAGGGTTCTGGCCTGGATATCACAGGGATGCAACTGAGATATAACAGAGTGGAAGTCATTTTGGGGGGCCTGTTGGGATCCCCACATGAAGCTATTCCAGTTATAGCCAAACAGTTGAATGGTTAGGCCTAGAGCTTAGGAGAGAGGTCTGGTTTAGAGATGTGGATTTGGATAAATCATGAGGTAAACGAAGCCATAGGCATGGAGATGCCTATCAAATAGGATATGCAGAATGAGAAGTGACCTGGGGACTGGTCCCATAGAAGGGGCAGCTGAAGAGACTTTTTATCATTCCTGGAGGCAGCATCAAAGACATGAAAGAGAAAACATTTCAAAACGGAGGGAGAGACTGATAGTATCCAATGCTGCTGAGAGTTCAAGTAAGACAGGGGCTGAGAAGCGGCCACTGAATATAGCAGTAAGGAGGTCATTGGTGATGTTGGAGATAATGTGTTTGACAAGTGATGAGGGTGCAAGGCTCTTACAGTGGGAAATGAGAGAAAATATATCAACTCACAGCCAGGTACAGACCAAACTTGATTCAGCACAGTACGTGCTTACTGCGCTCCTGGAACAGGGAGAGAGATAATATGCCACAGTGAGGTAGGACAGGAAAGTGGTTAAGACATGGATTCCAAACCACCTGGATTTGGTTCCCAGCTTCCCGTTTACTAAAGCTGAGATGTTGGACAAGCCACTTCATTTTTCAGTGCTTCCATTTCTTTGTTTATAACATAGGTACGATAATAATAGTACATTTTATTCAGCAGTTAGAACAGTATCTGGCACACAATAAGCTTTGTAAGTATGCAAGCATGAGCTATTATGACAGTGGCTAAGAAGATGAGCTATGCTGTCAGACTAGAGTTCACACCCTGACTTGGCTACTTAAGAGCATTACTCTAGGCAAGTCATTTATTTTCTCTTCTGTAATACAGGGATTAAAGTGCCTACCTAAAATGACTGATATAAGAGGTAAGTGAAACAATGCTCAGGAAACAGCACAATGTGTGGCACATGGAGAAGGTGGGATAAATGCTGCTGCTGTGCCACACACAAACAATAACTGTGGGAAAAGTGTTATTCCACACCCAAGGAAACCGAGCTCCGCCAGAAGAAGCACAGAGACATCGAGAATGTACTTCTGAGGGACTTCAGAGGCAGCGCTTAAGACCACATGGCTTCACTGATGGAGGGCTTGGGATGCTCATTTAAAGAGTCATATAGAACAGGGAAGGAGAACGATCTGAGTTTTGCTTTAGAGAATAAACCTGGCAATGTACACTGGGTGGACTAAAGGAGATTAGTAATGAGGTAGTTGTCAATCCAGGTAAATGGTCAGGTCAGCACAGAAGACCAGGTGGTGAGTGTGAGAAAGGGTACATGGAGGATGCTTGGAGACCTCTAGGAATGAGAAAAATATGGGGAAAGAAGGGGGAAGAGCCAAGGCATGCAGGTGCAGTGACTGATCCATAGATTTCCTCACTAAGTATCTACTAAGACCTACCATGTGTCAAACACCATACTAAGCATTAGAGGTAGAGCAGTGACTCAAGACAGATCAGTCTCTGCATTCACAAGTAAAAAGATGTGGGGTGGGATGGGCAGCAATGATGGGGCCAGGTCCCCAACTTAGACTAATCATTAGAATCCACGTCACAGAGCAAGCCAATGAAGTTGGAGATGGCAGGAAAGGTGGAGAAATAGCAACCCAAGGACAATAAGAAAGAAGAACAAGTTCAGGGGAGTGGTAGGTTGAGGAGCAAGCGAGCACAGTATAAGGACTAAGATGTTAGAAGTAAACTTGGAAGGCCCTGGGTTCAATCTCCAGCAACACACAAAATTAGAGCCCCGAAAATAACTTTCTTAAAGAGATACTACTACCTACTACCCCCATTTTCTCTCAAGGAGAGAATGCTCAGAGAAGCTAAGTCACTCGGGTCATAAATGATGCGGTTAGAAGGTCTGAGATGTGGCTACCCCTTCCCTCTTTCTTCCCTTTCCTCCTTTTCTCACCAGCTAAATGGGAAGAGGTCCTAGGCTCTGAGAAGCAACAGGTTTCTTCCATCAAGTAATTAGAGAGAAAAACAGAGACAAAAAAGAATATTCTAGAGTGCTAAGTGAGTGGAGAGGGATATCCCGACTCAGGCTTATAGGCTCCAGGCAGACCACCCACAGGAGAAGCCTACACTAGGGGACATAGGGAACTAACTGCAAGCCCCTTCTAAGAGTCAGTGGTTGAAAATGCCCAGGTTTCAGAGGGCTACCCAGGAACATGGACACTGGAACTGAAGGAAGAAGCAGGTAGCAGGAAATCTGGTAAAAAGCTGGGATCCAACAGCAAGAACTTCTTGGGAAGGGCTTTTGCTGATACGTTCCAGAGCATGAGAAAGGAAAGAGTCCAGGCTTGCTTCTGTTACCAGTGACCAGCAGGAGCAGAAAGAAGAGGGCACAAGAATCAGGGAATTTAAGATGGGAAGGAGTGGGGCCAGAATGCTAGGAGCTGGGCTCATGGTGAGTGGTTGGGGCATTACAGGAGGGATCAGCCTAGGACAGCTCCAGAGAAGGGCTCTAGTAGAGAGAAGGATATGGTGAGGCACTGTAGTGCCTTGTAGGCCGATGTCACAGTGCTGTCATCTTCCATTTTTCCCAAGAACCCCAACAGGTATCTGGCTCAGT